GACCAAGTGGGACAAACATCCTTCCAGAGGACACAGGGCCCTATGAGCTGACGCTCAAGGAGAATGGCTGCATCATTTTCGTTTCCGGCCTCGAGGACGGCACCCTCCTCGTGTGCAGCAAGCATTCGACTGGCGAGAGAGAGGATGCCGACCTCAGCACGCCATCGCTGGAGAACGATCCTTGGAAAAGCAGCTTGCTCGGCTGGGCAAGTCCAAGCAGGATCTGGCTAGGGAATTGAGAGCTCGCAATGCCACCGCCGTGGCTGAGCTCTGTGATGACTCGTTTGAGGAGCACATCTTGGCTTACGGCCCAGAAAAGGCCGGCCTTTACCTTCACGGAATCAACCTGAACCTCCCCGAGTTTGCCACATATCCCAGCACCCACGTTCAGAGCTTTGCCGATGACTGGGGCTTCCAAAAGGTTGGCCTTATTGTCATGGATGATGTCAACCAGGTCAAGGCCTTCCTAGAAGAATCCGCGGAGACGGGAGCTCACGACGGACGCGATGTCGAGGGCTTTGTGATTCGCTGTCGAGAGTCTCATGATCCTGGCGTCCAGCCCTATCGGGATTGGTTCTTCAAGTTCAAGTTTGAAGAGCCGTACCTCATGTACCGACAGTGGCGCGAATGCACCAAGGCCATGATCTCGGGCAAGCCACCCAAGTTTAGGAAGCATGTCCAGATCACCGAGGAATACCTCCTGTACGCACGCAAGCGACTCGCCACCGACAAGAACCTGGGTCAGCTGTATCAGGCGAACCATGGCATCATCGCCCTACGCAACGACTTCCTCGCTTTCAAGAATATGAAGGGCTCCGACGCCGCTAACCTCGAGCTCATCGCTCCTTCCACAGCCGACATCAACACTGAGGTGACGCGAGACGTCATCTTGGTCCCCATCGCGACGATCGGATGTGGCAAGACGACAATCGCTGTTGCACTGACGCACCTGTTCGGCTGGGGCCACATCCAAAACGATAACATTACCGGCAAGGGACGGCCACCTCGCTTCACAAAGGCGGTGCTCGATCTCCTGCAGGAGCGCCCCGTTGTCATTGCCGACCGAAACAATGCGCAGAAGCACGAGCGCAAGCAGATCCTCACCGATGTCAAGATTCAACACAAGGACGCGCGCCTTGTCGCTCTATACTTTAAGCATGATGCGTCCAACATTGATGAAGTGCGCAGGGTTACGCAGGAGCGAGTGTTGACGCGTGGAGACAACCACCAGACGATCCACGCTGCCAGCGATCAGAACAAATTCCTCGGCGTAATGGAAGGCTTTGTCGATCGATTCGAACCCCTTGTACCGTTCTCCCGCCCAGATGATGGGTTCGACGCGGTGGTCAACCTCGACCCTACGGCCGAGAGCCGCCAGAACCTTGAGACGGCGGTCAACGAGCTCCACCGCCTCTATCCGAACCTCTTTGAGCTTCCGTCCGCTGAGAGGTTGGATGAGGCAATGAAGGCTGCCTTTGATGAGTACCAGCCTGGCCTGAAGCACACGATCCCAGATCGTGGCGGCCGACAAAACAAGGCCGGACAACAGGCACAGCAGTCCAAGAAGGCCAAGAAGAAGCCCCTCGAGTACATGTCTGTCGCTGTCCCCGGGAGCCAGGTGAGGTCTATCCTGGATAAGGCCTTTGATAATGTCGCCATTGAGACGTCCCGATTTTACAAACAGCTCAGCCAGACGCGACGCATCCAGCCAAAGTTCCACGTCACGCTGATGCACCGCGCGTCCTCCAAAGAGCATCCCGAACTGTGGGAACACTACAGCAAGGTTGTAGCTGAAGCTGAGGCTGCCAATATCATCACTGCCGGGGCCACGGGCGCCACCGCTGCGCCGACCCTAGGCGTTTGCGGCGTTGAGCTGGAGAGGGTGAGTTACACTCTTCCGCTAGCATGACAACGACAGCTAACAGATTTAGGTTGTCTTCAACGATCGTGTCATGGCCATCGTCGTCAGGCTCAACGGCCAGGACCAAGCATGGCAGTGCGTCAACCCCATCGCCCACATCACCATCGGCACGCGGGAGGACAGCATCAAACCCAAGGAGAGCAACGAGTTACTCGCGCGCTGGCTCAACGAGGGCGTGGGAGAGGCAACAGGCATTCGAGAGGTGGTCTTTGATAATAAGCAGACTCTTGAGGGCGTCGTTCAGGGTGTCATGTCAAGGTAGCGCTTTGTGTGATGATGGAAAGGAGAAGCATGAGAGAGATGAGTTGAGTTGTGGCGGCAAAATCAAAAAAGCGAACGACGAGCAAGAGACCGAGGAGCATAATCAGACAGAAAATCCCCTATTGCCGATCAGATGGGCCTGTACTTGGCCTTCCATGTGATGCAAGTAGGAGTCTTCGTCAAGTTGACTCAATAGAACTAACGAGCCATCACCACGAAACTCCCATGACCACTCGCATCTTGTGTTAGTAAAAGATCATCAAGTCGTCTCCTTCCAAGAAACACGACAATTCAATTGTACCCAGCAGCGATGTGAAGGGCGACCACGCTGAGGCTTACCGAGCTTAGTCACCGCCATTGGCCAATCTTGGGGTTGGGCACAGACCACATGAAATTTGTCCACCTTCGACGAGAGCTGCGCCTTTGCGCGAGACTTGAACATTGTGAAGCTCTCTTTCCCGAAGCAGAGCAACCTCATCCATAACACTAGAGCAGCGCAACAGTTTTGGTGTTGCCGTCTCTAAAGTCTCCAGAAATGTCTTCCAGAACACCATGCCACGCGAGCAGCATCCTGCGCCAGGTTGCCCGGGCGTCACGAGCACCCATCACGGCCTCCCGAGCCTTCTCGACCTCGTCCACACAATATGCCACTGCGGCCGTGGCTTCGTCTACTCAGTACTTCCTCTGCATGCGACAACTGCTGCTACACTCACCCTGGAACGTCTGTGGAGACGCTCACGCGACACTTGCCCCTGTGAAGTCCCAGCTGGTGGACAATCTGCCCAAGCGGTTCCAGGGCATCAAGTTTGGCATCCAGTATGACTGACACCTCCCCTCTTCGCATCATCGCCAGCTGACCGTAGCGATAGATCCAACCAGGACA